CCCCAAAACCCCAAAACCCCAAAACCCCAAAACCCCGGGATAGGGTTGTTTAGTTGATAAATTAATGTTTGCGCAATGCTGTTGCGTAATGATGTGTGGGGTATTGGAATGGTTAGTTTTGATAGAGATTTGATCTGCATAATGGACATTGATTGCTGTAGTACATGTACTCTTCAGCACAGTCTGCGTGGAATGCATGTCCGCATACAGAAAGTTTCATTAAAATATCTCCTTTGTTGAACTCTTCAGCACAGTTCACACATTCTCTACTCTCAGTTTTAAAATAAGAGAAAATGTCGTTTCCAGTTGAATCTGTAGGTGCTTTATTTGCCTGTTAAAACTGAATAGCTTTCATACTCAGGATCATACAAAAACAATGTTTGCATATTGAGAATATCAATGATTTTGAATGCTTTATTTAGATTTCTTTCATAAAATTCTGGCTTATTCAATCCGAGTCGACTTCGGATATACTTTTGCTTATCAATCAGATCTTTTGAATCTACAGTATCTTCTGGTAACTTCTCGTCAAATAGAATAAAGTTTCTTATAGCTATCATTTGCTCTTTATACAACTTAAGAACTTCAGAATCTGTTTGGTTGTCAAGATCTACATGATTCTTAAACACAGGTCTTTTCCCATTAATTTCGTCAAGAACTTCTTCTCTTGGTCTCATAAGCTGTTGTCTGACTTGCCCAATGATTCCTCTATTACCAGTCCTTTCATCTATATCTAACACTTTAAAGATTACCAATATTCCTTTTGGAGTACATTTCTTTGGCTTTCTCCCTCAGCTCAAGGACTCTCTTCATTTTCCCTTTTCTGGCTTCGGCAGCTGCAGCCCTCAACTCTACTTCGTTAATGAAGTCTTTCTGTTCTTCTTCAGGGACCATTTTTAGTTCTTCCTCTTCGCTAAAGAATTATGAGAATTCTGAAAGGAAAATATAAAAAATACAAACGATCTATGTTTGCAGTCAGAATTTTGGACTAGTTCTGAGTTTATATTGGTATTAACAAATCTTAAGGTTCAGATAGAGCTGAATGTTCAGGAACATACACTTGAATAGCCTTCACTTCTTCTTCTTCTTGAAGAAGCATGCCATAATAATTTCTAGCAGGCTCAGGCTGAAGTTCTTCTCAATTAGGAGGGATAATGACTTGGATGCCATCATATTTAGCCTTTTCTTCTATGAATTTTAGCCTAGCCGCTTCCATTTGTTGGTGTAAAGTTTGAGAAAGTCCGTCTATATATGGATTAGCTCATGAAACAGGCAGGATTAGGATGAACTAATCTCTGGTCAGATATATGTCTTACTTAGATTATTTGCAAGCTCTTCTTTCTGCTGGATACCTATTTCATCTGGCTCGTCTTTATCAATCCCTTGTTCCACTCTTAATTGCTTAAGAATGCTTCTTTGATCAGACTTGAGCTTCTTTAATCTTTCTCTATTTGACAATTAGAGTTAGATTTTTGAAAAATTTAGATTAAACTGATATCCAGTCAAAGTCAAATTACAAAATGAAACCTCAGATTTGGGAAGGAGATAAGTGAGGGCGCATACCTGTAATCAACTTGTTTCTTTCTTTTTCTAATTATTCTCTCCTCTTCTGATTCATTTTTGGTCAAATGAACATTTCGATGAAGCTGAACTTCAGCAGGGGGATCATAACTTTCCATTTAGATTTATTATTAATAAAATTTTATTGAATTATCTTCCCTCTAAAACATAATTCAAATTTCGTTCATTATAACGGGGTTTTGGGGTTTTGGGGTTTTGGGGTTTTGGGG